ACCGCCTCGTTTGTTGTTCTCGTCTCCCTCTTTGCCTACGGTTTACCGGGCAGCTCTGTTTCACGATATATATATTTGGCCTGGCCGGGCAAGTGGTCCCGGGCCATTGCTCTGTTTGACGATATATATATTGTTAGTTTTTTTTGGCCCGGCCAGGCAAGTGGTCCCGGGCCATCCCATTCTGGTAGCCTAGATCGCGACCCAAAAAGTGCAGAGTTGGGAAAACTCATTATCTTGGCCCCTACCAAAGCGCATAGCTAAGTTGGTCGTTGAAATACAGACACGAGGCCGAATCCCACAAAAGGAACTACATCCAATGAACTGGGGTCGGGGCCCAGGTGCAAAATCTACAATACCTACAGGCAATAAATTTCCTGGCTGTTAAACTGGCTGGCAAAAGAGGATTTTGATGCCCACTAGAGCACCTGAAAGCCTGACAATCTATCGGCTAACCGGGTTGTGCTTCTGAGAGTCTCACGGCAAGTCCCCAAAATCTACAGTATCTACAGGCAATAAATTTCCTGGCTGTTCAACTGGCTGGCAAAAGAGGATTTTGATGCCCAATAAATCACCTGAAAGCCTGAGAATCTATCCGCTAACCGGGTTCTGCTTCTGAGAGTCTCGCGGCCAGTCCCCATATTGCAGCAGGTCACCAGTACGTCAACTCCTTCCCCAGAGGTGCGAGTGAGAAAACTGACCGGCTCTAATGATGAAACTCATCAGATCACAGTGACTGCCAGAGCCTCCCACCCTCCTTTCGTCAGTCCTCCCTGACTCAACCCACTCCCCCAGGCCTACCTAGTGTCTACAACTCGGGACAATCACCCCTCCATCACTCCTTGAGGGACCCCACTGGCTGCAGATAGCACACGGCCAGGAGAGCATCCGCCAGCACAAATAGTAGCTGATGGGAATGGGCAAGCAAAATGGGACTCCATCCCCACAGCAATTTTCAGCACTTCCCGATGTTTCTGTTACCCGAGAAGGAAGACTTGCCATTTCGGGCAAGTTTGCCCCCGCTTTTTCAGCACACCAACCAATCCCCTTGCCTCCTTTCCACACGGGATGGCTGATATGCTGGCGGACTCCAAACTTTGGCCAGCATTCCGGGCATCCCGTGCAGAAAGGAAACCTGGGGTTTGGTTGCTCTGCTATAGAACCGGAGGTAGGCAGAGTGGAAACAAAAGTGCTTGTGTTTGCAGCCAGCAGTGGGGTCGCAAAACATCTCTTCCAAAGACTGGCGGCCAGCTACCGCCAGCCAGCCTGTGGGGTCCAAACCTTACCCCACTGGCTGGGAAAACTGGGATGGAAACCAGGCAAAAAGTGTTTCTACTCGGCTGGCAGCTGAACAACCCATCGCCAGGTGCCACCAAAGTTTATCCAAAGGCGCAAGGAAATTGGACGGGGGCTGCAGATGCCAGCCACTGGCATCGGAGTGCCAGACAGGGTGGTCCAACAAGGGTCTCGGGTGATGTCCTGCGGTCCGTACATCCCACCAGCTCTGCATTGGATGTGTGACTGGGGGTGGTCCTTCCGTGCGCCTGTTACCCGCACCCTTCGTTGTCCTGGTTTCTGTGGATTTCCACCGCCCACCCCACCCTTTCCTTTTCGGGCGACTGTCAACTCTTCCTATTCGGGTTTGCGAAAGGACAGTCGTTTCCAGTGCCAATAATTGCGCTGGCGGTGGGGTCCGCTCGGAAATTCGGTTCTCTTTTCCAGAGTTCTCTTTTCCAGAACTGAACTCTCGTTCTTCCAGGCACTCAAAATTTTCCAGCCGCTGTGCAGTGGGGTGCAAGAATTAGTCCGAACGAGCTGACCGGCCAAGGGTCACAGACACCAGGACTAAGCAGGCTGTCCCATTCAGCCCTGTTTGATGCATATTCGAACAAGCCCTGTCGCAGCACGGGTACTCTGGACACTATGGATGATCCTTTTTCCTATAAGATGCTGCGCGCCCCCCCCCCCCCCCGGGGAACCCACCAATCTCTGGATCGGGATACCTCAGTATATCCAAGTTTGCTCCCCTGGTTACCACCGGCAGTGTAGAATGCCCCAAGCCAAGGACAGCAGACTAGTCTTCACCATACTCCTGCTCCTGCATCCCAATCTATGTGCATGGCATGTGTGACTATGCGCTGTCTGGGTATCAAATTAACACCAACTACACATGCACAGGAAAGTCCGCAATTGAACCCGCAACCTCTCCTTTGCAAGTATCTAAACGGAAGCAAACCCACAACGTGGCCGCGGTCCTCTTTATATAAACGTTTTTGCGGCCGCTCTTAAGATATTATCATTCAACTAACCTGCCCCAGGTAATGCAGCAAGTATTCTGGTTTCATTCATCATGTTGCATTCGAGAATTTAATGCCCGTACAGAATGAGCTAGGGCCGCTGGTAGCTCTTGTTTTTCTCGAGTAGCGAAGCACTCTGAATTTTGCAAAATCGAGCGAGTCCCAATGTCATACTTGCAGAGGACTGGATTTTGCAAAATCGAGAGGCGTGGGGCACGTTCCAGTGTCGCGCTGAGATGTAGGGCCTCGGCGGACCATCTTCCCATATTCCAGTGGCAAACTCAGTCTCATTTTGCGCAGTTGGTGAGCCACACCACCAGCAAAAGCCCAGCCCTAAAGGCTCATCGCCCCACAGCACACAACGAAAGAAAAAAACGCGTGCTTCTTCCCACCTAAATCCGCTTCATCACTACGCCCAAGGCTGCAAATTGCCCTGAAATTCACTGACCTGGCAGGGAACGACGATTTCCCAAACTCAAATCACTGTTCTATCACCCGCCCCAGCACACTCGGCCCATGATGTTTAAATTAAAAACAAAAAAACACTTTTCTAGTAGTGTTAAAGCCAATGATTGATGACAGGTGGGGAACCAGGACACTCAGAAGAGATGCAGTGGCGGTCCAGTAGGAGAGTGTCACTCCCCCCGAGCGTGGGCTCCACCGCATTGGGCAGATGTATAGGTAGATAATTAGCTTAGTCCCTCTCCCTTGGCTGATTTAGTTAGCGTCACTCTTTTAGATTAGAGCATGGCTGTTTTGTTAAATTGAATGGCTCACCTCGCTCTGACCTTAATGCTTGGTTGCAGGAAGCAGCCTATGCAGTCGTGCAGATCGTAAGCGAGGCTGAGGAAGGCAAACCCGAATGCAGTTTGAGGCCTGCGCAATGACTGTTTGCAGTACCTATTTCCCCTCCGCAACCCCGTCCTTTTTCTTCATTCCTTTCCTTTTCTTTTTGGGTCTTGCGCCTGATGAGGCCCCGCCCACCCTTCCCTCGCTAATTCTCCGCAGCACACCCCCCTTCCACCAGTCCTACCTCATTGTCTACCACTCAGGATCATCACACTTCCACCACCTTAGCAGGTTGACCTGACCGGACATCGCTCGCAGGCACCGCCCGTCTTCGGTGAAAGATAGGGCCTCGTTCCACTACTCACCAGATGTGCAAAATAACATGCTTCTTCTGCTTGAACATGGGAAGATACACCACCATACGTTTTTGTATTCTGTGTACGTGGTGAGTTGTGGAGCGAGGCCCATAATAGATCGAATGTTGGCAACAAGGAGAAAGAGTGTGTCCCCTCACTGCACTCCTTCGCTGTGGCTGTTTACTGCTTCTCCTTTTCTTGCTGCCGTTGCATCCGGTGCATAGGGATAGGGCTATCCATGACTCACGGTGAGTAGACCACTGTTTCTTGTCCGAGAACTTCGTGAGAGCGAGATGATCTGTGATTTGGAGGCTTGCCTTTGGGGGAGAAAAAAGAGGACTAGGGTGGATCCCCTAGTTCGTTCTATAGCACAAAGGGGTATACATGGCAACTCCGCTGGTGACAAGACGACGGAACATTTCCAGCCTTTTAGCCGAAGCCGGGCAATGGCTTGGGGTTCTTGATCGTGTGCCTCATATGAGAAAGGAACGCAGGTCCATGCGGACACCCGCAAGGTGACACACAGCACATGGTGCAAATTAAAAACAGAAAAAAAGGAAACAAAAAGGTAGTCCTGAAATTCCAGGTCCTCCATGGAACGGCACCGGGCCTAGGTGGGCCCCACCTAGCAGATTCTTTCATCTACGCAACTCGTCTTCTGAATGGACGGTCGGAACCCAAGGATGAACCAACGATTTTAGGGCATGTTCACACTCTGGACGTAGATGCAGAAAGATCCATTCACAGCCGGCCTTAAATGCAGTCAGATGCGTCGTGAAAAGTCCTTGTACGCCCTTATTCGGACGTGAGGACCCTTGGCTCCCAAAGGGGGGAAGACAGAGGCCTCTCTGTTGGGCAAATCTTCTGCGCGACTGAAACCATATGATTTTGTCATATCTTCTTGTTACACGTGTTACTTATACAATACAGGTAGCATGCGTTCCTAATCGTAACATCTCTTTTTTTTTTTTTTTTTTTTGGGATAATCGTACCATCACGGCTGCCGTGACGTGACCTCTTGCGAACGTCTGCAAAGGTATTTTTGTTTTTCCTTCATTTCTCTTCTTTTTTTGTATCAAAGGCGACAGCCCTGACACATCTTAGCGAAACTGACCGGCCCATCTTGTTGAGGTAATTCAGGCATTCCATTCGTCTGGTTCCACCTGGATTCGAACTCACACCAACATTTCAACGGTTGATTGGACGACTGAAGTTGACGACCTGCAATAGTTAATGCTCTTTTCGTAGAAAAAACGAACACCCTGCCAACGGAGCATGCATGCATATTACAGAGCAGATTTCGCGATTGGGACGATCATGCACAAAATGAGACCAATCGTATGCCATTCTCAAATTTCCATGACAAAAAAAATGGAAACGTCTTACTAACGAAATACGGTGACAAGTACTTACCTCAGAGTTGATTATGAGCAAAAGAGAGTAACACGTCGTGTGATACGCGTCAAATTTCAAAGACGTGACAATAATAATCTTATACATAATCGTAAAAATTTGAAACTTTTGAGATACGCTCTAATAAATGAAGGAAACAAAAACCTACCAAGCGGTTGAGTTGTTCGATCTCGCCTGCCATCTGCTGCACCACGTCTTCAGCGGCACGCTCCCGTCGCAGAGCGCCTGCAATGATAGCCTGCATGGTGTGGTCGCGGCTCTGTTTTTTTTGTTTTTTTGAAGCAAAACGAACGAAAAACAGTAGATACATACAGAGAGAAGAATATTTGTCAGCGGTGGAAGAAACAAGGAAGACATATGGCCAGTTCAACGAGGGACTTGACAAGTCCTAAATTTCTGCAGGTTTAGGAGGCATACATAATAATCACACTTTTTCCCAATTGCACTAACGGAAGGTAGCACCAAAAACACAAGTACCAACTCAAACTGCCTTCTTGGCCAAGTTCCGCTCGCTGAGAGATACTGTATTAACGACAAGGACAGTCGAGCACAACGAACAAGCTCACGCACCTCAGCTTGGCTGATCATTCCGTCGCCATCTTCCGGGTAGGCGACCAGCTGGAGAGCGCCCGAACCCCCTTTGACGTGTTCGAGAGCCGTCGTGCTTCTCCACATCTTGCGGAACCTCTCACCTTCCACTCCCAAGAACATGCCCTCCGCCCCGCCGTTGCCTTTAGACAACCGCCTTTCTGTCTTGTCCCAAGAGGCGCTGCTCCTGCGCAGAGGATCGATCGCCCTCGCGATATCTCTCGAGAGAACGTACGCGGGTGGGTCGGCCATGTCCACACCTCCACAGTCATCGCCGGCGACTACGAGTTGCCTCTCCTCGGGACAAGGAACTAGCTCCCTGTTTCGATTTTCAGCCGCCAACCGACGCACATCTGTCCGATCCTGGCCGTCCAGCGACTCGTGTTCCATACCGCCACAACTCCAACGACCAGCAGGCCTCCGAAGCGTGGCACCTCCGTTCGAAGACGACGGACACGCGTCGGCGGCGGCGGCGATTGAGCCATAACGTGTGCACGGGGAGCAATCAATGTCAGCCCGGCCGCTCAGCCGCCGATCTGGATCGGGAGCATACCTCTTCCTCAACTGGCGAGCGTCCACAGCGTCCGCTGCATCCGTCTCTTCCAGTTCTGGAGGGACCACTCGCGAAACCAAACACTCCCCTTCCGCCCACTCCCAGTATTCCTCCGGTTCTCCTTCACCTCCACCATACCGCGGCTCCGCAGATCCAGATCCCACCGAGGCTCTCCTTTCCGCTCTCATCACGTCTTCGCTACCCGCAAGTTCGTCTCCTCCGTTATGCCGACCCCTCGACGATGCCAAGAACTCAGCAACCGCCTTCTTCCTCTGTCTTGCCGTCAACGGCCCTCTCGCAGGCGATAGGATGGAGTTCGGGCTAGGTTCACCGGCGTCTAAACTCGAGTCTGAAAGCGTATCTTGATACGAAGTGGTCGCTTCCGACACAGAGGAGCCAGTACGATGATGGCCGCTGCCCGATGCAGATTCGGACGATTCCCTCGACAAGTCAGAATGGGGCGAGAGCGACCCTGGAGTACAGTCCGCTGCCAGATCTTCACCGGCGCCATCGCCGCCATCCTCACTCCTGTCAACAGCTCCCTCCCTTCTTCGTATCTCAGCAATAACCTCCAGGCTTTTGTCGTCAGCGTCCTGCTGCTTAGGCCCAGATTTCGACGACTCTGCCACGGTCGCCGCCCAGGAGCTCGCGTCCACGCTGCCACGTGGCTTGATCGACAACCTTCGAGATTCGGCCCACGAGGCGTACTCGTTCACGAACCGGTAGTGAAGACTGCAATTGCTCTCTGCTGCAGTGTCAGAATCGTAGCCCCTGTGCCCTTCTTTCCTCCAGATGTTCTCCATGTCATCGTCAGACATATCCTCCGGGGTTTCCTCCCCATGGTTCGTCGGGGGATGGTGACCGTCGTCCTTGTCTGCTACTTCAGTCTCAGCTTCCGTCGAGCCTCTTACAGGAGCACTGTCCTTCGTCGACTCCAGCGCAGGCGCCGCACCTCCACGTATCAACCCCACAGCACCCACACTGACACCTGGCGGAAGAGTGATCATGTTGGCCAGATCCAGACCGTTCAGCTGAGAGTTGTGTCGAATTCGAGTCAGTTCCTCCTGCAAACCAAATCACATCAAAGAAGGGGAAAAAAAAACAACACGATTTACGACGATAACCATACATACAGCGCACTTGGCTGAACGACCAAAGCTAAAAGACAATACCTGGGCTCGATCTGTCGATCTACACATCACTCAGAACGCACAACCTCTAAATCAGAGATGCACAGAATTCGAGCAATATACATATAAGCTGGCAACACAGTCCAACGCCAATTGCAGCGACAATGGGAACCGGATGAAAGTTTTTATAACATTCTTCGACTGCATCTGACATTCACTCAGATCTAACACAAGACAAACAAGTCAGGTGCCGACCTGCCCGACTCCGTTTTCTGCCGACATCTTCTTCTGGGTCTGCCGGCTTGCCTGACGATTTGTCGTCCGCAATGTCGAGGGCGTCACAGCTTTCCTGACGGTTCATTCTTTCCAAATTCATTCTTTCCAATTCGAATGAATACGGTCCTCACATTGGCGGGCGGGGGTAGGAGCAGCGCACAACATCTTCTACACGTCGACAACGTTAAGGAAGATAGATGGATAGATGGTCAACAATGTCACCCACGGTAGTTCGATACAAGAGACGACCGGGCTTCACTGATTCAAATAGACTTGGCATAAAAACGCAGCGCACCTTACGAAACCATGCCTGCTCAGATTGAACACACCCGAGAACATCCAACTCTACATTGGTTTAGATTTATGACGTGTGATTTTTTTAGATTTAATTAGCACATCTGATCGGTTTTGGTTTCGCTTGAAGGCGATGGGATTCAGGTAGATGGATTTCACTTCCGTTTTTCCTCCGGAGATCGATCATATGTCGACGAATCGGTTCTCGTGAGCGACTAGTTTGATTGAAGGCGACGGGATTCAGCTGGATGTGCTAACTAATTAGATTTCGTTCCCCCATCTGAATGAAGCATTAAAATTTCGCTTCGCATGTTTTTCATGACATCAGGAAACTATTCCGCTGAGCGACGTACCTTCAGCCGACGAATCTGTTCTCTCAAAACGTTCACATCGCTGCTCATCTCCTCGTTGACGACAGCCTGTCCCATCGAGCACGGAAAAGAGGCAAAGCAGACATCAAGTCACAAATTGAACACGTACGACGCAACTGACGATTTGATCACATCGTCATCCATCAAGCGTCCCACTGCAAACAAAGTGCTAAACGGCTAGGAAATGAGACAGAGCATCCAAAGAGTGGCATATACACACCACGCATAAACCGATGTGACTGAAGATACGTGAGAAGACCACCAGCAACGAGACGGAATCAAGTACAACGCCATGTAAGGAAATGCTTCACCGCGTGTGCTACAAACAAAGGGAATCAAAGGTAGTAGGCAACGGATTCCTGAACGGCAACCGGACGCTGGGGCCATGATGCAAAGTGACAGGAGCGGAGCAGAGAGCGAGAAGGACGAGGGAAGCCCCATGCAAATGTCATATGCTTTGAAGACGTGGCAGAGAATGCCGAGGACATGAGGAGGGAGGAAGACGAAAGCAAAGCATCGTGAGAGAAGCACAAACCTTGTTCTGCACGAATTTCACGCGTTGAGCGAACTTTATTGTGCTTATCGTTTCATGGATACACCTGCAAGGCAAGCATTCAACAAACAACGCTTCCGTCAAGAAAGGGAGGATAGGATCTCAGGCCGTATTTGCAGAGCACGTCCGTTCCTTGGAATTCCAGACGTTACAAGAGAAAGTTCGGCATGGCGGACCACGCAGACCAAGGAGACCAGAACAGAGAAACAGTCAAGAACACCAGGATCAAAACAGAGAAGCCCAACTGCCACCACAAGGGGAAAAAAAACAAGAATAGTTTGATGAAAAGGGAACCGGAAAAATGAACCCTCAAGCACACAAAACAGTTCAAGGTAGAAGGCTGCAAACTTAAGGACATAAACGAAAAGGGCGAAAGCAGGCAACGGCTTGCTACTTACTGGTTAGATGGGCTGAGCGCACAGATCATCACCATCTTGGCATTTCCACCCAACGATTCCTGCACAACACGCACATTCCATGATGTGGTTTCAGAACCCAACCAAATTCCTCCTCTCTCTCTCTCTCTCTCTCTCTCTCTCTCTCTCTCTCTCTCTCTCTCTCTCACACACACACACACACACACACGCACACACACACACACACGCGCGCGCGTGCCATGTCAAGGACGCACACGATGCAATCAACTCCTCTGTATCGGGCAACTGACGTGACAAATAGCATAACCTCAGTCCATCAGGCAAATGACGTGACACATAGCACAACCACCACTGCTGTTGCTTTGAGGAACAAGCTACGTTCTCCAGTGCAAAGTAATCCATCATCACGCACCTGAAGTAGGAACGTTAAGCGAGAGTCGCGGTAAGGAATGTGCCTCTGCTTTCCACTCTGTGCAGACTCGGCGAGGAGCTTGATGACAATCCTGCGCCAGCCGACACCACGCGTTCACAGCGCAGAAAATCAGTCAATATGGATGTTGACGTCCACGCAACCACTAGACCAGAACTCAAAAGGAACCGAGACAACAGCACAAGGAGCTCATCCAGATACAGTGATCATCCACGCACAATGGTTGTCCAGGTTCGATGATCATTCAGGTAGAAACGTGCTCTGAAGGGCTTGAAAACCTAGAGGAGCCGAGAGGAAAAGGACGGGACGAAGGGCAGACGAGGAGACGAGGGAAGAGAAGGGGAGGGAAGACGGAAGACGACAGTCGACAAGGGGAAGCTAGCGGATACAAAGCGAGAGAGACCCCGGAGAGAGGCAGGGAGTCGCAGGGAAAGAGACAGCTACATTCAAAAAATGCAGAGAGGGGCGGCAAATCAATACGGACATGAGGGACTGCGAGAGATCTGTGAGAAACACTGCAAAAGAGACAGCAAAAGAGGGCGAAATAAAGGACAGAACACAGGTATGGGAAAGGGTGGAGAAAGAGGGGGCGTGGCGGCCAGTGGTGGGCCAAACGGGAAACAGGGACAGAGGGGAAGAGGTGAAAATGGCTGGAGAGAGGGGAGAGGGGGAAAAGAACCGAGAAAGAGGGAGTACAAAGGTCGATGGAAGCAGGAAGCGGTGGAGAGAACGTTCGATAGCAAAGAGAGAAGGAAAACGAGGGCACAAAACGAGATGGTGCAACGAGATGGATAAGAGGAGAAGAGACGGAGAGAGAGAGATGGATGAGAGAGAGAAGAGGGGAAGAGGGAGAGCAAAAGTTGGAAAGAACAAGAGGGAAGAGGGGAGAGGGAGAAGAAGAGAACGAAACTGCGAGAAGGTGGCACAGGAAGGTTGCAGAGGGAAAGGGACGTACAGGGTAACACAGAGAAGTAGAGGAACAAGATGAAAAAGCAAGGCAGCCATCTGCGAGGAGACAGGGTGGAGGGCAAGTGGTAGAAAACGGGTAGAAGAGATATTTACCCTAGTTGGGTGAGCGATCGGTTAATATTCGCAGCCTCCTTCAGTCGATCGCCTGAAGCACCAGTAAGCTTTTGCCTGCCATCGCCGAGCCGGTGGCGCATTTGCACAGAAAGGAAAACGGGTAGAACGCGACAGAGCAAGCGTCACCGTCGAATTCAATTCACTGATAGCTCAGTAGAAGTTGATGAATCATTGCCAACTTAGTCATTTCAGAGAACAGACGAACACGAAGCCAATCGCTGAGATAGTCCATTTTTCCTTCCTCTAGCGAAGCTGCAACTCTCGAGGACGGATTTGCATTAATCTATGGCCACGCTGAAACCGAAAAGCAGTTTTCAACCTAGCTGCCCATACCGACCAATCGAAGTGCTGTGTTCAAGTCCCAATTACTAGTAATTCGTTTTCCCTTACCGTAACAAGGCAAGCCCCACATGAATAACAGACAGTACTCTGTAGGATCAACACATCCTTGGTGCCATTGGGCACTTGCCGACAATGCGAAATCAGAGCCAGTTGTCACATAAACGAGTGATTAACGGATAAGCAAGGAAAAGTGAGCGAGATAGAGGCGTGCGCTGACCTTTCAGACCCGGCGAGATCGACCAGATTCAATCTGGAAAAGCGCGTGCTGTTGATGCCCTCGGTGATAGACTGGAGGCGCTCGGCAGTCGATCAACCATAGCGCCAAAAATCAAACCAACAGAACAATGCCACGTGTTAGCCCCAGCATACACGTAAAAATATCACAGGCGAAACCCGCCGGGAACGAAGATTACGTCGGCAAGAGGCAAAGACAAGCAAACAGGCCAGATATGCACAAGTAGTGGCATACAATTCATTGTCAGGAGAACCATCTCGGGAAAATAAAGCATTTGCGCGCCCGGTCATTACCGTTGTATCTAGACAGATAGTTGGCCCAAATACAGCTAAAATGCTGGGCGTTCTATCCGGATGCAAACGGCAGGTGCCATCGATCGAACCATTCTTGTCGTTTCCGAAGCGGCAAGCTTTAAGAAAGGTGAAGCGATTCGTCAGCGTACATCCAACTATGGGGCAAGAGGAAGAAGCACTCGCATATTGACCCGAGTAGAGACGGAGAGAATTAACACAGACAAGAAAACACGAGAGTGATCGTGAGAGCAGAGAAACGGGAAGAGACATACAGAGAACCACCTACCAGGGCGCAGTGATCACAAGATCAACAGGCAGATTCACACAGAGAGACGTACAGGATAAACATTGGCTGTCTGGAGCTCAATCGGATTCACTGTTTTCTTTGCACTGCTGTGTAAGTATGGCCCTCGCTTCCAAAACTCAATTGCTTCCGCATTTTTCCTAGCACGTAAGAAGGACACTAGGAAGTGATGATATGCGCAAGACGACGCACCTTGCTTTGACTTTGAATAACGCACGTGAAGACGCTGTGCGAGCGGCTACTTTCGCTGTTCATAGCAGTTGAAGCGACCTTCCGGTTTGCCGTGCCCTGAAACAACCAGCAAGCGAGAACGAGTTAGGAGAGAAGAGCGAGGAGGGGGGGGGCGGAAGACAAAGCATGTACCGAATAAAGGAAATGCAGCTTCAAGTCGACCCACAGTCACGGAAGATTATTTGCTATTGGGTGGCGAAGACGGCCAAAGAGAGAGACGAGAGGAAATATGCAGAGAGGAAACAGAGGTTGCAAAGGGAAAAAAAAGAGACATCTGAAACTCACCTTCAGAATGAGACGTGTGACATCATCCACGCAACTGACAGGCTCTTCGGAGAGATTCTCCACATAAACACCCGTCCGAATATCTTCACGGATCTGGAAAGACGCAAGGAAAACCGATAAACACAAGCCAACCGACGAAAGTCGACCAACAAGCTTAAGAAGAAGATGAAGAAGAAGATGGCAAGGCTGTCAATACCTGTGGCGATTGAAGTCATGTGATTCCATTGGATCAATAATGAGTTTATCGTTTGAGACGATGGTTGCAGCTGGACCTGGTTCTCGCGTTCACTACCGCTCAACATACAATTGGTGACAGACAAGATAAGCTGAAGCGGAATAGGTTCTAGGTTAGAAAGAATCAAACTTCAGCTTGGGACACTTGGATTTTCGGAACGAAGGTTAAAAAGAGCACACCGCAGAAATATGCCGTCGAAGAGCAGAAATGATCATGAAGGGGGAGAGCGAGAGCAAGGGGAAGAGTGAGGAGAGGCGGGAGAGCAGAAGTCGTTATCATGTTATGAAAGAAAGGTGAAGAGAGAGAGAGAGGAG